CTTCCTTCCTTCCTTCCTTCCTTCCTTCCTTCCTTCCTTCCTTCCTTCCTTCCTCTCTCTCTCTCTTTCTTTCTTTTTTTAATTATATGAAGCTATTTATTTACTTTTATTTCTTTTTATTTATTCTACTCTCATACAATACATCCTCACTGCAGCCTCTCCTCTCTCCTGTCCCCCCCTCCACCCACACACACACTGTTAAAGTCTAGGCTCACAACCAAAAATATAAATTTCTTCATTTCTAAATGAGCTTCCCTGCAGAATGGAAGTTTCCAGTCTTGGAGGAAATTGATGTACAATCCTTGGCAGGTGTACTGACTGGGTTTGTGTGTCAACTGGACATAAGTGTGAGTGACACATCAGAGGAAGGAGCCTCAGCTGAGGAAATGCCTCCATGAGATCCAGCTGTAAGGCATTTTCTCAATTAGTGACCAATGGGGGAGGGCCCAGCCCATGGTGAGTGGTGCCTTCCCTGGGCTAGTGGTCCTGGGTTCTATAAGAAAGTGGGCTGAGCTGGGTGGTGGTGCACGCCTTTAATTCCAGCACTCAGAAGGCAGAGGCAGGTGCATCTCTGTTTGAGTTTGAGGCCATCCTGGTCTACAGAGTGAGTTCCAGGGCAGCCAGAGATACACACAGAGAAACCCTGTCTAGAACAAAACAAAACAAGGCAAGAAAGGCAGGCTGAGCAAGCCAGGGGCAACACGTCAGTAAGCAGCACCCTTCTATGGCCCCTGCATCAGTTCCTGCCTCCAGGTTCCAGCCTTGCATGAGTTCCTGTTCCGACTTCCTCCAATGATGGACTATGATCTGGAAGTGTAAGCCAAACAAACTCTTTCCTTCCTAGCTTGCTTTTTGACCATGGTGTTTTGCCCAACAAATAGAAACCCTGACTAAGACAGCATGTGACCTGATGCTCTCAGCTTCTTTTGTAGAAAGGTGCCCTATATTCATGTCATTTACAATCAGTGGTGAATTAAGACCCTGCCTGCTAGACCATAGGGTGCCTACTTAGGTCCTCTCTTTTTCCTATTTCCCTTCCTTCTAACTAGATGTCTGTTTGTACCTCAACCAGGTAAACACTCAGGGTTGTTGTAGAATATTATTTTAAGGCATGTTACATTTGTTTGTGCTGTGGAACATTTGTTTTAATGAGGCAGAGATATGTTGTGTTCTTTTTTGTTGCATTTGTTTAACTCTGTGAAGCTGTGTTTTTTGCCTGTCTAAAACACCTGATGGTCTAATAAAGAGCTGAATGGCTAATAGTGAGGCAGGAGGAAAGAGAGTCTGGGCTGGCAGGCAGAGAGATTAAATAGGAGAAATCTGGGGGAAAAGGAAGAAGGAGCAAGAGAACAAGGAGAGAGGAACATTAGGGTCCAGTTACACCAGCCACACAGCTAGTCACAGAGTAAGAGTGAAAGTAAGATTACAGAAGTAAGAAAAGGAAAAGCCCAGAGGCAAAAGGTAAATGAGGTGATTTAAAGTTAAAAAAGGCTGGTTAGAAACAAGCCAAGCTAAGGCCGGACATTTATAATTAAGAATAAGCCTCCGTGTGTGATTTATTGTGAGCTGCGTAGCAGGCACCCCAAAAGAGCAAAAGCAACCAACAACACAGTGCTGTTGTTTTTTTAATGAACCAGGAATTTCTCCTCCCTACAGCATGTCCCCTTAGCCAAGTGCCTTTAGTTCTGTTGCTCACCCCACATTCCCAAGTTGCCCCCTGACCTCTATGCAGAGGCAAACCCTGCTGCTATTCCCTGTGCTGAAGCTCAGTACTTCCTATAGGGTCCCCCATGAGGCTCGAATGGTGATGGGTATCTACAGAGAAGTCAGCCCTCCTTAGCTGAAGCACATGTTTATAAGCCTGCCCCTGTATCCCTGCCTCCTGCCCTGTTGAGAGTTACTATTAGCTCCAGTATTTGTAGTTGAGGTTTTTCCCTAGAAGATGAGTGTGCTATCTGGCTTTCTATGTAACAAATAACCCTGGATGGAGAGCCACCAGTACCTGCTTTGTGGTCAACTTGCTTCCCAGGTGAGAAACGTTGGCATCTGGAAGTCTGTT